CAGTTTCCTCATCTGTAAAATGGAAGATAATAATGGCACCTACTTTATAAAGTTTTTGAGTATTAAATAACATTTACAAAGTAGTTAGAACAATATATGGCACGTGATATGTGTTAAATCAATAAAGTAAATCCATCTGGATTTCAGACATAATGACATAGAGTTTTTTGAGTACTTAAAAGATTTTCTTGGTAGGCCATTCAAGTGCTAAAACAAGAAAAGAGATTAAGATTATTGTTGCGTTGGCTGTTGTCATTTTTTTAATTTGACAATATCATTCACCACATTAAAAGACTAAAAAAGTTTTAGAATAATAACTAAAATAGCACAACCCAATAAATTAAAAAAAAAAAAAACTAAAATAGCATGAAACAGTATTGACATATTAGGTTTAAAAAAGGCAGGTTGAGCCCTGGCTAGTGTGGCTCAGTGGATTGAGTGCTGGCCTGTGAACCAAAGGGTTGCCAATTCGATTCCCAGTCAAGGCACATGCCTCGGTTGAAGACCAGGTATGTGATAGGCAACCACACATTGATGTTTCTTTCCCTGTCTTTCTCACTCCCTTCCTCTGTCTCTAAAAATAAATAAATAAAATCTTAAACAAAAAAAAGGTAGGTTTAAATAATAAATACATTCACAGAAAAAAGATGGAAAATATTATTTTCCCTTAAATGTAGGCTCATCTTATGATTTTATTTTTAAATTGTGTTTTACTAAATAATTCAAAGTCTCTAAAATGAATGTCATTACTTTTAAAATGAGAAAAAAAAGAAAATGTATCTCTAAACACAGGGGACTCTTAAAGAAAATGATGGAATTTTTTCTTTTAATAAAAGCTTAGAACAAATGGAAAAAAAAAACAACCCTCTACAGGTGCTCAGAGGAGATTCTGCTGAATGGGGAATATTTTCAGTTCCAATTTTTTTCTATTAAAATGTCTGAATATTCCAACTTAAAAAAAAAAAGCTTAGAACAGTTTAGGGCAATTATGGCAACCCTAGCACACGAATACACAGGTTAACAACTTCCAAAATTAAATTTCGCTATCTACCACCAAAAAGAGATTTAAGACAAACACATTGAAGGAGTCTAATAGGATTTTCTAGTATAGACTGTGATCTTCATATAGAACTATTTTATTCTAAAGAAGTTGGAAATTTCTTCTAATAATCTCAACAATAATTTATTTTCACTTTCCTCTATAATTTTGATACCAGTATTTTACATTTGTATAGCATCCAATTATTTTGTTAGTATTTGATACTTTATCTGGTCTTTACAACCTTCTCTATGAAATAAATGGGAATACAATAACAGAGACAACTGAAACCAAATCCTCTGGCCTGGGTTACAGAGCTTTCCACTATATCTCAGTGCTTTCCAAACTTGTAGTAAGGCTCACCCTGTTTCAGTAAGAACAGAGATAGTTTACTTTATATCTGTACTTATCAGAAAGTCTTAGAATTTCAATAGTAGAAAAGACTACCTGAATATAAAGAAAACAGTATCTTCAAATAAATTAAATTATACTGTTTTTAAAAACAATGAACAGCCAGCATTTCCTGAGAACTTTCAGTGTCTTCAGGTACAGTTGTAAGCACTTTACATAAATTATCTCAATCCTAATAACCCTATGAGGTAGGTAGGTAATGTTACAATCACTATTTCAGCCACACAGAAACTGATGAGTACGTCATCCAAGATAGTAAATGAAGGAGCTTGCGTCTGAAACTAAGGAAAGATTGACTCCAAAGCCCACATTTTTAACCACTACCCAATGAAGTACAGCTGACCCTTGAACAGTGCAGGTCAGAGGCATGACCTTTTACATTGTCCAAAATCTGGACAAGCCCCTGCATACTAAGGTTCCCAAACGTGGAGCTGACCCTCGGATAACACAGGCTTAAACTGTGAGGGCGAACTGAAACGCAGTCATTTGAAAAGAATTCCATATATGAAACCATGCAGTTCAAGTTCATGTTCAAGGGTCAATTATACTATTGAACATAAATCTTCATGGCTTTGGAGTCAGCCAGATTTAAGTTTGAACACTGACCATTTACTAGGTTTAAGACTTTGGGAAAGATTAAGCTTATTGCGCCTTAGATTCCTCACTTATAAAATGGAGATAAAAAAATGAGACGATTGACGTAAAAGCATTTAGTACACCATCTGGTATATAATAATGTCTATGAATTACTAAGTCCTTACCACAGTATTTCTAATTCTAGTTTTCATGAATATAAAAAAATCCAACAATGTCTAATTTGGGGACTCCAAGCAAAAGTATCAAACGGTTCTCCTCTTTCATCCATATTTCTTTCCTTTCCACTGTTCAGAAATGAACAATATACTATTCCAATAATCTCACTTCCTGTAGGAATATCAGGATATACTGAATCATATTAGTAGTCACATCAGTCTTATATTCTGTCTCCCACAGAGATATCAAATAACTAGTAAGGACAACAGTACAGTTATGACAACTTCAAAAGATTCTGGACATTGCATTTTATTGTATGTTAGATTCGAACATCTAACATATAATAAAAATGAGTCAATGTACTTAACATTTACTGACTCTTTAAAAAAAAATCTCTTGGGATTATAAGAAAACTACCTATTTGCTCTTATTTTTCCTTTTACTATTTATTTCAAGCTTCAGACAGAGTTCCTTATTTTAGTACTCCCACTCTTCATGATATATATGGTTCGATCAAATTCTCCTTCAATCTCCATTTTTTTTTCCCAAATAATCCTGCTTTTGTAGTCATGTGAAAGTCTCTCCATTTTCTTCATCTCCTTATAACTTAATTTCTCTGGACCCTTCTTCCATTTTTGCAGCATTTTTCCTGATAGGACTTAGAGGGAAGAGCACTGGGCGAGGAGCCAGGAGTCCTCACTCTGCCATCTCATCTCTCAGATTCTTTATCTGGCAAACGAGAGGATTATGCTAGATAAGTTTGTAATAGGCCTCCTTATATCTCTAAGCTTTATACTTTCATGCCTCTGGTGTTCCAACTAGGTATCATGCATTTTCCAACAATTTCCCTAAACTTTTTACTCCAGTTAGCCAAGGAGGGCCAGGCATGTTCAGACTTGGGGGCAGCCGAAGACATGATTCATAATCAGGAAGGCCAGGACTACAGAACGAAAGACAACGTTTTGTGAACCAAGAGAAAAAGATGGATTAAGAGGAGATATCAGACATTAAAAAGATACCAAAGAAAAAAAGGTCTGAAACACATGGCTTAACTCTAACTCTAATGAAACACATGGCGTAACATCCCTATGCATCTATTTGAAGAGGGACTAAGAAACAGAAAACGCTTTTAGCAGCAGAGGAGGTGATCTTGCCTTGCCTCAAGGGAGCAATGTTAACTGCCATCTCCCCAGTGCTGCAGCTAAAAGAGTCGAAGACAATGCTTTGTACAAAACAGGCACTACTGGGGTATTTGATGAGGGAACTGAAAGCCCTCCTAAGTGCTACTGGTACGACTACATGCCAGGAATCTGAGAGCTCAGGGCCATGGGAATTACACAGCACTGGCTAGCCTAGTTCTAATGGAAGGATATTGAGTTAGACGAGAGAGGGAAATTCGGCATAATGACACTGTTGGTCTGATAATATTGAGAGTAGCCTCCAGAGGGAAAAAGTACAGATTAATAGCCACTGGCTATCTCTAAGGCACCAAGGCATTATTAGAAATATGTATGAAAGTCATTTCCTACCCTGGTGTCAAAGTCCAAGAAAACACTCTTTTCTGAAGTTTCCTTCTGGAGCCAGAGCTTCTTGGCTTATTACTAGTTAGGGGACAGGGGAATGTAAATCAACAAAGGGATAGGGGGCTGGGCAGTTCAAAAAATCCTCAGGCCAGCCCTATAGTGGTGTTGCTCAAAGTGTGGTCCCCAGATCACCAGTAACAGACTGAGAGAGGGTGCTTGCTTAAAATGCATACTCAGGGATCCAACACAGGTCTCTAGAATCAAATTTCTGGGAGTGGCATTGGCATTCTTAAGGAGCAAACTTATGTTTGAGAATTTGAGAATTCCTGTGCCAGAATCTGAGGGAGGGGGCAGAGTTGAGAGTGAAGACCTTTGACTCTGGATTCATCATATTCCACTGATATTACTATAACTCTTTGTTTTGGGAGCCATTAAAAAACCCCCCTCAATTTCTCAGGTAGCAGCTGCAGCTGGTTGTTTAGCAGCCAACAGGGGCACAGTGAAAGAGCCTGGAAAATGCATTTTCACAAACTGGTTAACAGTTCTTCCTCCACAGCCTTGTTTATCCTGTTAGTTTGCTCGCTGGTTTGTTCATAAGTCGGTTCGACCTACGAATTTTTGGAGTCATGAACTCCAAAACAGAAGAGGTTTATTGATTGATTGATAGGGTAGAGCTAAGCTTGCAAACCTGAAGACACTATTTAAAAAAAAAAAAGTTTTATTTAAACGAAAAAGACCGGTTAAGGCTCTCCCAGCTCTTTTGCAGGCAGAGCCACTGATAAAAGCTAGCTGTGGGATGCAGAGAAGTCTGAAGCAGGGGTGAAAAGAGATAGCAAAATGCACCCTCTGCTCGAGTTTAGGAGGAAGTCCGACCAACTACATAATTTTTAACGAGTTCCATTAATTGCCAGAAAAATAATCGTGTCCGCAAATCTTATCAATAAACACTCCGAAGTTCTCGTCATTTCTGGCGGGATAAAAACACCAAAGGCCTGCAGGAAACACACAAGTTACACTTCAGCTGTCTCTACGACTGTATTTACGATTTCCATACACGTAATCCCTTCCCGGGATCTTCAGACCTTCAGACCTCACCCTCCGCACTGAAACAGGAGCCCGGAACCTATTTGCCGACATTTTTCCTCGCGATGATTTCACTCCTGCAGCCTTTTCACTGGGGGGTCGGACCCGGCGGACTTCCGCCCGAGCGGCGTCCTGGGGAGACGCCCCCCGACACAAAGGCAAATCTCGGAGCCATGCCCGCCGCGACTTACCTGCCGCTTTCTGCAGCGATCTGGTGCCAGGACCCCGAATCCGTGTGGGACACGCGCACCGGGAGAGGCCGCCGCCGGGACCGGCCGTGCCGCAGCGGCGCGCGCCCCCTGCCCTGGCCGGCGCGGCCACGCGGCTGAATCACCCGGCGCTTCACGTTAAGAGTCCCCTCGGCGCGCGGGGCACGCTGGGAAAGCTGGGCTCCGGGCTGTGGCCTCCGGCCCCACGGTGGGGGGTGTCACCTCTCCTTCCCGGGACACACCCACCCGTCGGAAGGAGGACACCCTCACGCCTGCACCGCCAGGGTGGATTCGATGTCTGAACTGCGAATACCCTCCTTCAATTATTAAAGGTATAAAACGGAAAAGTTAGTGATCTGAGTTGTAAAACTCGCGTAGCCCCAGGACAGCTAATGCCTATAGAAAGTTGTGGAGCCCGGATCTCTCCCCGTACATTTGACGGAAGGAGGAATTAGGAACAATGGAATTGTTTAAATACGTTTTGCCTGGAGTCCTCTATCCCGGGTTTGCAGTCTGATCAAAAAAGGGAGGAAAAACACATTTTTCTCAAACCTTGAGTTTAATGAAACTATATGCTATATAGCAAAGTTGGTTTACAAATTTTAAATAAACAGAGCAAATTATTGGAAAACTGGTTGTGTTACAAGAAAAATATTTCAACATTCAAAAAAAATCTAGGTATGGCCCTATAAAACTAGTGCTAGAAAACATAAAAGGAAAGAAATAGTATCAATCCTGTCATGATTTCTAATGGCTTTTGTGCTTTAAAAAGTTACATACTAATAAAATGTTACTGATTATGCAAACTTCTATTTTTAAAATGTTGAAAACCATATAAGTTAATAATAGTGTGATTTCTTAAATTCTGAGTCAACTTTTTTGTTAACAAAAGTCTCTGATAACTAATTTGGGCACTAAGACTAAGATCAGAATTGAAATATTAGTAATATGAGAAAATAGTTTGACTCTCATTCAAATAGGTTCCAAATGGTTGCCAGACAATTGTACTACACAACAAAATTGGGTTTCAGGGTCAACAGTATTAATTTTAAAAAACTATAAATTTTTTCATTATAATTTGATCTTAGTGATCTAGAGGTCATTCCACATTTCTGGTATTTCACTTCACTTTAAATGACTGTAAAGCCGCCAGTACTGTGTTTGAATCAGGATGGACTAAGTTATGATGCTGCACTAGTCACCTGAAGGGCAGGTGACTATAGGGCAGCTTTCCTCCAAGTGGTGACTCAGTAGTCCCAGCTGCTTCCATCTCTGGCTCTGTCAACCCAACATTAGATTGGTAGAAGAGCTAAATTGGAATGAGCTTGATTGGAGAATTCTGCCAAGGCTTTTCTTTGTCTCATCAGAGAGTGAACCTTTCACTTCCGCTGACATTTTATTGGCCTGAACTAGTTACGTGGCCTGGTCTGATTAAGAAGCCTAGGAGGTTTCACTTCTTGTGTGCCTGGGGAAGATGGACATGAAAAATGGCTTGGTGAACACATAGCATTGCGTCTCCCACAGTGTTCAGTAGTAAAAATAAATATAAACAATTTGAGTGTTATAGGATCCAAACTTTACAACTAAAGTAACATGGAAGATTATTCAAACTAATGCCTTTATTTCCATTTCTATAAAGTACGGTATTAATGCTCTTCATATCAAAAAAAAAAAGGAAGAAAAAAAAAAACCTTTGTAATGTTCCTACAAGAATTCTTGAAACAAATTCTTCCTTTCTGGACAGTTTTTTCTCTGCAGATTTGTAATATAAAAATTTGGCCCACAGGTTGGAGAACCAGGCTAAGATTATATGGTTCTATTTTTGTCTGTAATAGTGTATCAGACCTGATACTTTCTTTAAGTAAACCTCAAGGAGATGGAATATAACAAATGTATATTCACAGAAAGCACAAGTGTATGCTGACTTTATCATTTTATTTCTACTTCAGTGCATCTCCAAAAGATGAACCTCTCAGATGTACATGTGAAGCTGAAACCCTTCCTAATGTCCTGTTGGCAGACCTGAAATTTTCAGTTGTCTTAATGGCCAATATCAAAAGGCAATACAGTTTATCCCATTAACTGTCATTTAGGTCTCCTTAGATAGAACATCTATCAACAGTAAGTATTACAAAGCACTTTTCCCAGTGTTTTACATCACTTAAATTTCTCAGCAACTCTGAGAGATTTGATTACTCAGGTTTACAAATGAAGAAAATTAAGACAAAACCCAAGTATCTAAGGTCATTAAACTACTAAGTGGTGCTGAAGAACCAAGAACCCAGACCATCCGATCCCAAAGTTCTTGCTGGACACTCACTGAGGTATGGCACTTCCACCTAACTGCGTCCAGGTGAACTGAGCGCTTCCAGCAGGCACCTTAAATGCCTTCAGCTGTTAACATTAAACAACTAAAGTTGACTATCCTAAAATGAAAATATTTTTAAAGCCATAGTTATTACCAATGATCATATAAGAACTAATTATTCTTTCTACCTACTATATCATATGTGTAGTAGTCAATATAAAAAAACAAAAATCCCAAGATTTTTGAACTCTCAATGTAATTATGTTTGCAATTTTTTAACTAAATGTTTGGATTAGTTGTATGATCTCTAGATCACTGCATATCAAGTAAGAATATTTGAAAGAATAATCACTTTCATTTGCAGTCCAAGTTGTGCTCAAATACAGATTGAAATAATTATTTAATTTCTGACTTTCTATAGGGAAGGCAGCCAGTTCCCTGCATACTGACCTGAAATAGATTCACAAGAATCCTTTTTACTTCACTTCCATCAGTTCACCTTTGTTAACAATCTCTTTGTGAAAGTCATAAAGGCTTATGACCCTCAGAAAGCAAAGACTAGACCTTGAATACAAGAATTTTAAGTTTCTTAGTGTCCGGAATTTACTATTAAACCTTTATTAATATACATCTGCTTTACACACCACTTCAGTGTGCCTCAGTCTCATTTATAGGGAATGTCTCAGGCAAATTCAACAAACAAGTAGTCAGAGTCCAAAGGCATAGGACCCCAAGAGAACTACTTCAAGACGATGATGGCAGGATCTCTCCTATAAGGGGCTTTAAAAAGTTGTTTGGTTATTTGGGTAATGAAATAAGATATAAGGGGAAGTGAATCTACATAAAAGTAGTCCACTGTTACATAAAATAGAAATGATAGAATGTCCTAATTTTGCAACTTCCCATGAATCAGTAGATAAAGGCATTATGCATTAACATTTTCAAAGATCATAGAACTAGACATGTGCCTCTTGAGGAAAAACCATACTACCACCTATAATGCTGTCAATGGGATTGAACCTAAATCTGAACTAGACTTGAGATCCAGCAGCCAGTTTGTAGGAAACACAGGGACATGTCGAATGGCATCATGATCATGCAATTTGCAAAGTCCTGGCTATGGAAGACTCTATAGGTCAGAAGGCCTCTGCTCTTTAAGAGAGAAATTATAAAGTTAAAAAAAAAGTATATATCAGAAATTTTTTAAAGTGTGTATATGTGGCTCTGGCTGGTGTGGCTCAGAGTGCCAGCCTGTGAATCAAAGGGTCGCCAGTTTGATTCCCAGTCAGGGCACATGCCTGGGTTGCAAGCCAGGTCCCTATAGGGGAGGTGCGAGAGGCAACCACACATTGATGTTCTCTCTCTTTCTCCCTCCCTACCCCTCTTTCTAAAAATAAATAAATAAAATCTTTTTAAAAGTTAAAAAAAATCAAATGTGTATATGTGTATGGGGGTCAGAGACTGTACTCTCTAGGGGTAAACATTTGAGTAATAAAACCATTAAAGGAAAAGGAAAGTGAAAGGGATTACTATAAAAGTAGGATAATGGTTACTTATTAGGTGGTAGTGGTAGGGAAGAAGTTGTGATTGAGAAGGGGCATGTGGAAGAGGCTTCTAAGGATAGGTAGTGAAGGTCTGTTTTTTGACCTGGTGGTGGTTACAAGGTGTTTGCCTTAAAAATGTTCATTAAGACAGACATTTCCTTTGGGTTGTCTTCTGTTTCTGTGTTTTATTTTATAACTAAAAAAAAAAAGTTTGGAGGGTGAGGCAGTGCTACCTAAGAGCTGAAATGTATTTTCTCCACACACAGTTATTTGCAAATATATCCATTTGGTTTTCTGGGACAGTATTAAGCTTAAATTACTTTAAAAAGAAAAACAAATGCTTTAAAAAGAACAAATCCTTTGAAGGATATTCCACATTGTAATCTAATTTTGGAATTTTATTTAGTCTGCCTTTTTTTAGAAGATAATGAACAAGTAGATAGTAGAGTTTATTCTGAGTGTTAGAGGAAAGGTAAAATGGAATGATGAAAGATAAGAGACTAGAACAATTTTTTGAAGCTTAATGGTTACATTTCAGTAGTGGTCAGGAGAATAGTCTATAAACATTTCCCACTGAGATCTTGATGAGGGCATGAGCTCCCTTTCATTCCCCCACCTGCATGCCAGGACCATGTTTCAGGGCTATAGGACTTTTTTAAAGTACATAGAATGCTTAGCTTGAAATTCAAGAATCAAATAAGCCTCCGTAAACAGAAGTCCTGGGGGGGCCAGCATGGGAGAGTCAGAAAATGGAGAAGTATGTTACCCTGGACTTAGGCAGAGGCTGGGTGTAAACAGATAATATGTTTATCTCTCATTTCTCCTGGTACCAGTTGACAGACTCTGACCCTCCCAGCCCGTGCCCCAGCTCTGCCAGCTCACATTGCCTCTGATTGTGAACACAGTACTTGAACCCAATGCTGAGAATGCTGGGAAGTTTTGTTTTGTTTTTAACCTTATATGAGTATTAGATAAACTGCATTTGAAAAAGAAAATAAATAGACAAGCCCCAAAGTATAATGTTCTTCAAAGTAGGATTTCAACCAGTGGACTTTGGGCTTACAACAAGACAGGCTCCAGTCGCTCACCGAGCCACCACAGAAAACCATGAGATTCTTCTACCTTGCTCAAATCACACCTCCTTCTTTCCCCAAACTTTCAGTAACTGAGGAAAGGCAAAAATCTGTTTACCAAAGTATGTGTCCTGGTCCCTTCTACTCTCTGAGAAATTTTATAATGAAAAACAAACAAATAATGGGAAGTAGGCAAATTCAGAAAGATTTCTTCTGATTAACCAAGAGCCCAAAGGATTCTTGCTTATTTGGAGCTGTGATGCCTACTTGGAAATAAGTCAGTGTCTATGAATGTACAGGTGTGTGAAAAGGAAAAAACATGAAGTAGTATCAAATTCATAAGGCACTATGATGTAGTCAAAAAAACAACCACATTGGAAAAAGAGCCAAATGACTTGGTGGGAGGTCATTCCACCATTTATGGAGCAAGTTGCATAAGCTTGGGTTTCTTAATCTGTAAGATAATAACTGACCTATTTTTGCCATGAGATTGTTATGAGGAAGAAAACATAATCAGAATTACGTAAAAGTATTTTATCACCTTAAAGCACTAGAGGAATTTAAGGTACTGTTAGTATTAATGTTACACATACACTCTATCCAAACCAATATCATCTTCAGAAGGAACATTTAAAGACTTTTTTATGAGATAAAATTGCTCTCCTTATTGGCAACTGTAAGTTGTTTGTTTATTAAAATATACCGCTCTCCTTAATTATTATGCAGTTTGAAAGGACAAAAACGTTGCAGTGACAAATATTTTCAATATGTTCTCCTTTTATCTATAATCACTGATAACAATAGTATTTTAAAGAGAATTTGAGATCTTTTCTTAAGGGGACTTTTGTTCTCTATCAAATGTGCCCTTGTCAGTGCATTTTAAAAATGGTACAGTAAGTAATTGCCCTCATGGATTCCTGTTTTTAAAGTTTGCCAAACACACATGCATGCACACACACATTCCCAGGCTAGATCTGGAAGGAACCGCTAACTCAGCCCTTCCTTAGCTGCTCTTTGATGATAGCAACATCCAAACAAACTTGAGGAGAGCAGTTTCAGAAAGGCCCTCTTCTTGCTCTAAATCTCTATAGCACTTAACACTTGTTTAGTAATTTGGGTTGTTCTCTCTTGCTTTTTATTTATTATAAATGGAGGTAAACCTCCTAAAATGCTGAAAATTAGTAGATGTTCAGCCTTGGGGTCAAAATCATATACTTGAAATTGACTTTATGAAGGAGTCAGGGGAGAGAAGGCTAAATGGGGATTAAGGAGATCTGACGGGTACCAGCCTGGTCACTTTGGGCCAGTAATCAATGACCTCTTTGGTCTAGAAATTAGGAAGTTTGGGCCAAATAATATCTGTCATTTGTTGAATGCCTTCCATATGGTAGTGATGAAAGAGAAACTGAGGCATATTAAACATCTTAAGAGTTTATTTGAGCAAAATCAATTTGAATAGGGGCAGCATCCAATCTAGCAGAAAGAAAGGAGCTCCAAGGACTCTACAAAATGAAAGACTTTTATAAACAGAAGGGAGGGAAAACGGGGAAGTTACACTGGCAAAAAAGCCAGTTGGTTATTGCGAGGTTACTTCCCTTCAGAGGATGGCAGGAGGGTCTCTGTCAGATTACAAAACTAGTGCTGATCAGGTGATTCCCAATTGACTGGTTTAAGATTCTATCTCTGGGAGATTCTAAACTGTAGTTAAGTCTCAGTTTGCTGACGTGAGGCTAAACATAAGTGACTTCATTTGGGCCCATTGTTTTTAAGAGTAGGCAGGTATTAGCTCTAATTCTCCTAGTAGCCTGGCAAAACGGGCCTTGTTAGTCTCATATTACAGATACAGAAATTGACTCAAAGAGGTGAAGTTATCATTTCAGGTCACATTAGGTCAACTCCATGGAACCACTTCAGCTTTGCAGTTCTAGGATTCCACAGAGAAAACCTACGCTTTGGCTTATGCTTCCCTTTTAGAAATTGTTTAAAGTTCACTTATAAAATGCCAAATGTCGATAAAACCTTCAAGATCATTAGTGCCAGGTTTTTCTCTTGTTAAAAAGGAATCTAAGGTCCAAAAAGGACCAGTGACCAACCCATGGTTGTGATTTATTTTCTCTTTCAGGTGTGCCCATAATGCTCACTGTAACCTGATTCTACCTGGACAGAAATATATATATGAAGTTGCAGTGGTATTTG